AGTCTCGCCGGGGAGGGAAGGCCGTCCCCTTCACCACCCTGGCTCTTTTGCAGTATTGAGACCCCTTGTTGGGGGGGGGGGTCACTGTCCTCGGTCTACCCCCCTCCCCTCCCCCCAGTGGGCACAATCTCCCGCAGCACCGATCGGGGGGAATGCCCCTGTGTGGCGTCCGCGAGGTGCGTTGCGGCCGGAATGTATGTGAAATCATCGCGCCTCCGACTTAGGATATTTTTTGCACCAAACTTGGCAGGGGTGGGCGGTTGGCAACACGAATTGTAATAATCCTAAGACCTTTTGTGGTGTGTGTGTGTGTGTGTTGGTTTTTTTTCTGTGTGTTAAATCAAGGTACGGGAAAAGTTTACAAAAATAGGCCGATTGTTTTCCGTGCGAGTGGGGGGGTGGAAGAGAAAGGAAGGGGGCGGTTGTCCCTATTCTGGGAAAGGTGGGGGGGGTCCCACCTCTTCCCTACCCCCCACTTAGCCCCGGAAGGTGGTTATTGGGGAGGGAGGGAACGAGCGGGGAGGGGAGGGCTCCCCCCCCTCCTTGTCCTAGAAACCTTTTGTGTGTCCTTTCCTCTTTTTCCAGCCTCGGTCTTTGAGTCGCAAATCCGGGATTTTGCCTCCCGCAAACGGAACAACAAACAAAAAAATTGGGGGAAAATTGGTACGTGCAATTTCTGCCTTACCGGTTTTCGAGGAGAAAAATTAATAAGGGGGAAAGAGCGTGAAGTTGGTTTTCAGTATTATACGATAGCTTTTTTTTTTTTTAATTAATTTTAAAGGCATATGAAATGAAAAAAAAAAAAAGATATATATATATATATATAATCCATATATCTAGCAATAAGGAGGGACGAGTTTTCGCGGAGAACGGTCGTGCTTCAAAAGCGTTGGCGTTGCAAGGAGAGGACGGCGGGAGGAAGAAGAGAGGCCGCGGGAACGAGAGAGGTCCCCGCTCTTTCTCGCCCAGCCTCCTCTCCTTCCCCGCCGGTGCCGACGTCCAAATCCCATGCTCCACAGCCAGCAGCAGCAGCTTGTGAAGTCGGGGCCAGTCTTTGAGTATTAGGACTACTACTACTACTGCTGCCAAGTTCCTTTCAGACAATAACGCGCCTAAGAAGAATTTGTAGCAATTTCTCTCTCTCTTCTTTCCCCCTTTTCTGTTTTGTTAAAAAAATTTGGGGGGGCGACCATTTTTTTTTAATTATTTGAAATGTGACTATGAATGTATACGTGTCTCGGTCCCTTTTCGCAACCATTGGGAGGGTTGTGCGTTTGTGTGTGTGTGTGTATGGAGGGGGGGGGAGGCGTTTGCTGTTTTTAATTTTGAGCTTGGTGTCCTGCCAGAACAAATAATAGCTCTCGTCGCACGTCCGAGTTTTTAAGGGAGCAAAGAAGGCGATTTACGGCGCTAGCTATGCAGCCTTCTCGTTTGAAGCTTTCGGCTCGTCCCTTTTTGGGGGGTGGGATAGGGGAGTGGCTCACCTTGGGGGTTTTCCTCGGAGGAGGGGGGAAAAACCTGGCTTGGAGAAGCGACGGGCTCTCCGCCACTTGTTTTTTGTTTTTTTTTGCTCGTTTCCCTCGACTTCGCGACAACTTTTTGTGCGTGTGTGTGTGTTTTCCTGATGCCTTAAAACTCCTCTACCTACGGACTTCTGGGGAGGGGTTTTCCGCTCGAGGAAGACCCACTTGGCGAGGAAGAGCGGACGCGATAAGGCTTCTCCCCCTCCCCCCGCCGCCCGGAGGTGGGGAAGGAGGCCTCGACTGGACGCCTACCCTGCATTTATACAGCGGCGGCAACGGGAACCCGGCCTTTTTCAACCTCCCCGGCACCACACACACACCCCTCCCTGACGCGAGGAGGGTCTGGCCCGGCTCGGCCGCCAGCTTCTGGCCACCATCTACCTCCCCGCTGCAGCCGCTGTCGCCCCGAGAGGCAAGCCAGGCCCGGACTTATCGGTCGCCGTCCGTTCCTTCCCGAGTATTAACAAGAAACTGTGATCCGAGGGCCCGCGAGGGTCTTCGAGCTCCTACTGAGAGTGGAAAGATGTTTACAGACTTCACCGTCTCCTGGCGCGACTGGCAGGGCCCGGGAGAAGGGGGCCCACACCTTCCTTCCTTCCTCCCCCATCATCTCGGGTGCCGAATGTTTCCCCGCGGACCACCTGCCTGAAAGACTTTTGAGGGGGAGAGGGCGCACCCCCCCTCCCCAATCTCCGCCCAAGCTGGACGGACCGACCGGATAGAAGAGAGCTAGCTCTTCTGCCGAAAGCCGCAGCCGGACCAACCTGAATTGGACTGCGAGGGGCAGGCGGCGGGAGGCGGGCGGGGGGGTGGGGAGAGAACAACTTGCTTTGACCTCTTCCTCCTTCTGGGGGTGTGTTTGTGGGGGGCACCCCGCCCGCCTGCCGAGGAGGGGCCGGCCGGACCCGGTCTGCTTCTGCGCCTTAAAACTGGGTGGGGGGGGGGGAGGTTTGGGGGGGGGGGGGGGGGGGGGGGGGGTTGCGCCTACCGGTTGCACGCGAGACGGCTTTGCGTTCTTAACCTGCATAGAGACTTGTTTGGCTTTTGCTAGGGGGGGCGGGGCGAGACTATCCAAAGGAGGGGGTGAGACGCCGAGCCCCCTCCCTCTCCTGTACATATCTCCCCACTTTGCGTGGTTGTTTTTTTTTTTTTTGTAAATGGTTTTCCCCTCCCTCTCCCCGCTCTGCGTGTCTGCAAGGAAATAAAAAAAAAAAGCTTAGATGTTGTGGCACTTTCTGGTCTCTCTTTGTTTTTTTTTTCCATCCTCCTCCCCCCCAAATAAAGGTAACCGTGGATTTATCGATGGAAGTTTGCCGTGGCACCGAGAATAAGTGAGCGGTCGCTATTTTTGTTTTTTTTTTTCACACGGACGCTTAAGCTTCCCCACCGTCCGGTGATTTGCCTTCCGACGTTGGGCCACTGACTCCCCCTTTATGACGGCTGCCGAGTTCCCGAGGTCACGCCATGTCCCTTTAGTAATCAAAAGTCAACGGGGGAAAGAAAACCAGATTTGCAGAACGGTGCGACTTCCCCGAAAATAAGCCCTCGCCCGATTTCCCCCCCCCCCTCCGGGTGGCTCTTACTATAAGCCCTACCCTAAAAATTAAGCCCAGAGGAGGGGGAGATAGGCACGGTCTATACAAGACGCAGTGAATGGACTGCGTCCGATGTTGTCCAGGAGCCGCCGCAGCCCACCTTTCCCCTCGACGCAGCGTAGATAAAATGGGCGCGGAGGCTGGGGAACGAGGAAACAATGTGCCGCGCAGCTGCCTCACAGCCTCGTGTGGTGGTGGTGGCGGCAGGCGGAGGAGATAAGTCATGGGGGGAAGCGGAGGAGATAAGTTGGGGCGATCCCAACTCGCACCGCGCAGGTCCTTTTTTTCCCCGGTGTGGGTGCAGGCGATGCGAGAGACGTGGAGATGGAGAAAGCGGCGTATTAATAGCTACAGTTTCTGAAGGCCCCGGCTTGCAAGCCGACACAGCTTTGCGGAGTTTCCGGTTGTTTCTCCATGCAGGCGAAAAAGTTGGGGAGCAACCGGGGCATTTCGCCTAACCCTAACCACCCCCACCCCCAAAAAATAAGACCTAAGGGGGGATCTTTGGCTCCCCCAAAAAATCCAATTTTCAGGGAAACACAGTAATGTTAAGAACTGCGGTGATTTTCCGGGCCGCCGTTGAGGTTAGTGCCAGATCCAGTTTTAAGGCAGGGCTCCCCAAAAAGTCGTCCTGTAATGGTGACGAATTGGAACGCTGCCATTTTGCAGCTTGAGCACAACCCCCCCCCTCCTCTGGGGTACGTACCGATGACCTTCCCTAGCCCAGTAGGAGAGGATCCAAACACCCCCCCCTCCACCCGAAGCACACACACACACACACCCTCCCCATTCCTCTAGGCCAGGGGTCTCGAACTCATCGTCGAATTGATCGTCGCAAATTTTATCGTCGACTTCGGCACCCAGAATTTATCGTCGCAAATTTATCGTCGAATTCGGCATCCAGAATTCCTCAACTTAGCCATGCCTGTTGTTTTTTCTTTTCGTCCTAACTCCTCGAAGGGGGAGATTGCAGAGGAAGGGATGACAAGAGAGTAAAAGGGCCAGAATGAGATTGCAGAGGAAGGGATGACGAGAGTAAAAGGGCCGCAACGAGATTGCAGAGGAAGGGATGACAAGAGAGTAAAAGGGCTGCAATGA